GCTCAGGCTTCCTCCAAACTCCAGAGGCCAGAGGGGAACGACACGTTTTTCCAAGTCAGCAAACAGACCCGGGACTGACTGCTGGGTGGCCACCCCTTCACACCTAGAGATCTGCTGCCTTCAGCAGTGGAGCTGGCCCAAGGTCAGGAGGACTCGTGCAGCCTGGCTCGCTGCCAAGAAAGCCAGTCACATGCTGCTCTCCGGAGTGGAATGCCAGGGTCTTCCGAGCCCTGGGAGACCCCTGGAGGAGCTGGAGGAGGAGGGTGGGGGAAAGGGGTGCACATTCTATGCTGAGCTGTGGCTTTGCTCGCTTGCGAGTAAAAAGCTAAGCTGTTTTGGCTCCCCCTGGTGGTGGGCTAGTCCCCTCGTCCCTGTCAGTAACTAACAAGGAGGATAGCCAGGCGAAGCCTCGGGGAATATGGGAATTGACTCCAGCTTAAAATTTTGTATTTTTGTTTGTTTGGTTGCTTATGCTGGTGGAAAAACCCAAAAGCTTTCCCAAAGTTTGGGACCCAGTTCCTCTGCTAAAGAAAAATCCTGCAGTGGCCGCTAGGTGGCGCTAAAGGCACATTGAACTTGGAGAGGGTTTTAGTAACATTTAATTGGGGAGAGGTAGCAGGCCCTAGTTCAGCACCGTCTCGGCAGGGCCTGGTTTCCACTTGAGGTCTAGGTGCTTGGGTATGGTGGTCAACACTTGGACGCTGGCAGGTGCGTGCCCCAGAGCTGAGGTGACTAGTGAGGGCCCCTTTTTGCCCACTTGGCCTGGCTGCTGATCGCAGCACACGTTATTCTAGATCTCCAGAGCTCGTGTATGGCCTACCCCCCAGCTCTGTCCCCTTCCACCTCAGGCTAGAATTTGCATCTCCTAGTTGGTGAGCAAGTGGCCTGGCCTGGCACACCCTGACAAAGGGAGGCCCATGGCTTGACACTGGAGACACAGACACCGGGAGGCCGGCGTGGAGTTCTGTGTGCTTTGGTATGGAAGGGATCCCCACTGCGGACCCGGGGATCCCTGGGGCTGTTGGAACTGGGAGATTAGACAAAACAAGAAGTTGGCAATGGAACCAGGCTTCTCCCTAGCTCTTTAGGGGCTGGGGGACCGGCCTGGGACCTGTCCTGGTAGCCCTGGGCATCCCGGAAGAAGGGACTTCATCTCACAGGGTTTCTGCAGCCTCAGGAAATACAGCCCTGGCGCCTTTAAGAGCCCAGGGCAGGCAGGAAAAGAATTTCAGTTTCAATCTGGCTTCTAAATTTGGAGTTTTGGGAAGGGAGGGATCAGATTTCAGCTGGAAGGGAAGGAGCTGACAGGAAGGCGCTGTGCAGAGCCTCCCCCCACCTCCCGTGCCCCATCCCCCCTCAGTTACTGACAGAGGAACCATTTACAAAAGGCCGATTCTCTTGGGAGTGGAGAGGCAGGAACGCAGCGTCTGTGAGTAATTTCCTGCTCAATATGGCTGCTCTGACTCACACGATTCCCCTGGGGTCACTGCGGGCCTGCAGCTTGCTTGCTTGTTCTCGCTCTTTTTCTTCTCCCTTTGTGGCTAGAATGAGCTAATTTTTTTTGTCTTCTCGCCCCCATTCCTTTTTCTCCCTCATCTGTTTTCCTCTCCTAGAGTTGCAAAGTCTCCTTCCGAAGGACTTAGTGAGACCTTGGGACACGATAGGCCTGGCCGAGGGAGTAGGGCAGCCCCTGCAAACAAACAGCATCTCTGGCTTTTCCATGGGTGGGGGACAGGGACTCCCCCTGGCCCTGCCAGCAGGCCAGAAAGACCTCTTGGGGCCCCACTCTCGTGCCCTTAGTGGATGATGCTGGTCATCCACTAGGAAGCAGAGCCTCTGGTTTCCCAGTGTCCATCTGCCCGCCTTGCTGCCCAGTCCCTTGGAGCTGCTGCTGCGGGATGGAGCCAGCAAGCTGCTTCCTGGGTGGTTTACTTATAGGCTCTGACCAGAGCGAAACCGGCCACACAGCTCCCGTGATCCCTGAGCTCAGGGCCTGGAAGTGTGCAAGAGAGGGCTAGAGACTGGCCCAGGGGGCAGAGAGCCTGGGGGCGGGGTGGGTAGAGGGTGGGTGGAGCCTGCTTGAGTGGGACAGTGGAACAAAGCTCTGTGAAAGCCAGGCCTGGGCGCCTTGGGTAGAAGAGGGGAAAGATTCTGGGTGAAGGGACCGACCCAGGAAAACCCCTGCGGACACTAGGGTGGCTTTTGTCATCTGGTGCCTTGGGCTAGGGCCTGACTGCTGGAAGAAGGGGCTGTTGTTACCGAACCTGGGGGCTGAGACTGGGTTGGGGGGACTTGGGCCAAGGAGGGAGACGACAGGGTAAAATGGTGGTTTTGTGGAACTGGCCCTCACGGGAGAAGTGGAGTGGCCTGTGGGAGCAGATCACAGCCGAGGGGCTGGCAGTGGGGGTGGAGTGAGGGTTGTCGTGAGGTGGTGGTGTGCTCCTGGGCCTTTATTCTTGTGATGCCCATTACATAGAAGGAGCTTTGGACCCCTCCTTTCTCCCTGGAATAGCTTTCCCTCAGCCCTGTCTCTACGCACAGCCTCTTCTGGAACCTTCCACACACGCAGGGTCCAAGTCTCTGCTTCCTTGCCAGCTGAGCCTCTTTGCTTTTCAGACTCTTTCTTCTGAAGCCTGGGGCTCAGGGTGCTGAAAAATTGTCAGCTGGGGAGAGGGGCATGGTTGAGAGGGACCGGGCACTGCTCATTCATAAAAACAGACGTGCTGGCCTGTGTCGTCCGAGGGCCACGCTCGGCCACACCAACTTGCCCGCCTCCGAGCCGTGGTTTCTCACATGATGGAAGCTCCGCTGGGCTCACTGCACAATTTCTTCCTTCCCGGGAAGGAAGGGACCGGGAATGGAGCCGTCCTTGCTCCCGCCTGTCCCTTGCTGCTGTAGTTGCCATCCCGTCCCTCTCACACTTCCTGACCAGGTCACGAAACAGACCTTCCTCCCAAATCTCCCGCCTGCGGTTGGTCCCTGGGGTTGGTCTCACCCACCTCGGCCCTTCTCCAAACCGACCCCTCCCTCGACTCTTTCTGCTTCGCTGGTGGCAGGTGCAGACCAAGCGCCCTGTGGCAGAGCCCACCTGTGTGGGTCTGGGCTGGGGAGGGTCGGGGTCCAGGCTGCTGCTGCCCTTTACCGAGGGGGTCCCGTGCTGGCAGGTACCCCGTGGCTCTGGGGAGTTGGTGGGAGCCACAGCAGGGGCTGGGGTGGATTTTGTATTTTTCTGAGGCTGCTGGATTCGGCGGGTGGTAGGAATCAGGGCCCCCTTTTTTTGGCTGTTGAAGAAACAGGGTGACTGTGAGGCTGCTGTTTTCCTACTGGGTCTTGCAGGCCAAGAGGGGCCCCGTCTCTGGCACTGACGTGTGCCTCTGTGCACGTGTGCGCCCCGGTCCCTGTGCGTGCGCACGCATGCATGCGTGTGCACGTGTGCGTGTGTGCGTGCATGTGTGTATGTGTTTGCTCACTTGACTTTGCTGCAGGGGAGCAGGGGCGGGGCTTCCAGTGGCACCTCGCCAGCTCGTGGCCTCTCTTTTTCCAGATGAAGACGGGCCCCTTTGCAGAGCACTCCAATCAGCTGTGGAACATCAGTGCTGTCCCTTCCTGGTCCAAGGTGAACCAGGGTCTCATCCGCATGTATAAGGCAGAGGTGAGTGGGGGTCGGCGGGCGCGCTCGGTCCTGGGGCTGCTGCTCCCCACTCCCACTCCACTGTTTTGCTCTGATTCTGGGGCCAGCCCCTCTGACACTGGAGGCCTCGGAATCTCCATCCGTGGCCTGACTGTCAGGAAAGCACTGGACTGAGGCCCTCTCTGCACCGCGAGTGAGGCGAGGCCCTGCCCTGGTGGGGGGAGGAGGAGTCTCCCTTCCCCCTTGTCAGCTGGCTGGAGGTCCCTCCCAGTCCTGTCGCCTTGGGGACGCGAGTATGAAGACATGCTTGGGAAAGGGTTTTATTCCTTGGAGGCATCATCCAAAGTGGTGCTTTTCAAATTTTTGTGTCTGATCGCTGGGCAGGTGGGAGCTGGCGTTTAAGGACTGCTTCAGGTGGTCCTCCCCGCTCAAGTCAGAAAGGCAGAGAGGTCAGCTTCCAGAGCGCCCCCTGCTGGGAGGCGGCTGCCAGGCTCCCAAGGGTCTCCTGCCGGTCTCCTGCCCTCTGTGCTCGTCCTCGTCCTCCTTGTCCTCCTTGACACTCTGCTCCCTCCCAGCCATCGAGGTGGCTTTTCTTTGGCAAGTGGGGAGAAGACATTCTGTTTCTCCCCTGTCCTTTCCCCTTGCTCCCTCCGCATCTGGGCAGACCAATTCTGAAACTGCTCGGCCGTGGCCGGGGAAGGGCCTGAGTATGAAATCCCTCACCTGGAACAGTGGGTCCCCAAAGGCCCCTCTTCTCGCCTCAGGCGGGGGTCTCAGATGTCGTCTGTGGTGCCTTGACCCTTGGCCCTCACTCTCCCATGGGGGGGATGTCCTCCGGGCCTGCTGCGTTACACCCGGAGCTCGCTCCAGCCCCGTCGGCAGAGACGGGAGCGTGGAGGAGAGGGCTTAGCGTGTTGGCGCGGTTCGGTAGTACACATGCTTCGTGTTGGCCTGGCTCGTTCTGCATGGCCCTGAAGGGGTTAATGGCGCTGGGACTGACCAGACCTGGCCCTCTCCTTCCCTTCCGCCCCTTCCCCCTCCGGCCTCCATCCCCTTCCTCTGGACTTCACATCCTGTGTTTAGGTTCCAGCCCACATACCTCTCTAATCTGAGAGGAGCTTCGCTGGGGCTGCACGGGCTCAGGCAGCAGCCAGCCCTCTCTGCTCTGGCCGGGTCACCACCCTCTGGGTGTCCTGTTGTTCCT